AACACAAGCTGCTTGGGAATGATAAGAGTTGTCAACTTGCTGACATAGTCCCAGAACAGATGCACCTGAGGACAATGATAGAAGGCATATAAAGCCATTTCTTCTAAACCAAGGTCACGCCGATAACAGTTGGGAAAATCCACCTAAGCCTTTCATCTTTGAGAAGTAACACATTCTGAATGAATCACCAGGTAGGCAAAACTGGTGCCCAAGACCAGAAATAGTGCAACTGTGATGCCGACAATCCAAGCCAGACACAGAGAGGATCATTTGTGGACCTCTTCATTAGTTCATGATAGTCTATAAGGCTGTGAAAGGTCAGTGGATTGAGGAATGACCCCCAAGGCTGACTGACACTCTTGGGGGAATCTTGATTGATTTTGGGGTTTACGATGGTGCTCATCCCATGAAACAGAAATGATGGTAAGGCTAGGGAAGATATCCCTAACACTCCCCTCCAAAATAGAGTCCTCTGCCAATGCACGGTATGGGAAAGCCAACCCTAAGGTATGCTGATGGCATAACATGTGCAGCATTCCCAGCACCCCATGACACAGATGTTGGGAAACCTGATGCTTGTGACTACCCTAAAAAACGGGTGGAAAACAAGTCCTCAAGTGCTTCTTTCAGTGCTTGCAGAAAGAAAGTGCAGCCAAATGATAAAGGATAAGATGAAATATGTAAGTGGCACATGCCTCAGCTCTACCCTTTATGGACAACCACTGTCGAAGCCAAGTCCGGATTGCCACTGATTTTTGTACTTTAGACCAATTTTTCTTCACCTGGAGACTTGAAAATGCTTTGTGCCTTAACTGGCAAAGAAGGGGCTCCAATGCTAAAGTGAAAAGTAGAGTCGACAGCAGAAAACCCTGTCAAACTGACTGTGACAGGGCAAAAGCATGTGCCCATTTTCTGTTCACCTGCATCACACCATAGATGGAACAATATAGGAGGCTGATCCAATTGCAGAAGTCAGGTTTGAATTTGGTAGCCTGCCAGGTACTGATGGTTAACACTGCTGAACGCTTTGGACTGATCTAAATTGATCAGCGCAGTTGTCTTCTATGAACTCTAGGATCATGTGGACCAGATGCAGGTTGCTCTGAATTGTTAATCTCTTCACAGCATAAGTCTGCTTGGGTCCCAATAAACTCTTGGCAACTGACTGCAAAGGATCTGTCAGGATCTTGGACAAAATCTTTAACTGTGTGTTTAGCAGAGTTATGAGCCTATAGTATAAATCTAAACCCCCACAACACTCTTGCCCTTTTTCAACAGCAGTGATCACACCCCTGGAGATTCAGTCAGAGAGGGATCCCTGTCGAAACTAGTTGTTGAACATGACAGTCAAAATCAGAATAAAGATGTATGACAATTCGTAGGACCAACCATCAAGTCCCAGAGACTTACCACTGATGAACCTCTTCAATGCCAAGTGAACTTCACCATACATGATGTCATCCTCACAGCTTGTTGCTTCAGTCAGCTCAAGCTGAAGAAATTCAGCCAAGTAGCTCCAAAACTCATCACCATAGAGAAAGGGCTACTTCGTAAAAACAACTCTCAAAATGCCTTGCACATGTGTTTGGTTGGAGTATGCTCTCCTGTGGTATCAACTTTCTGAATGTATTAATTGGAACCTTGATGAATTTCTTCCTTGCACAATTCCATACCCATATTCACAGCTTTGTTAGACATCTTGTTTAATCTATGTCTAACTACTGGATCCTGGTAACACTTGCTAGCCTCATGCCTCTGAAAAGACAGAAACCACACCATAATGATGAAAAAGTGACTGACGTCAAGATAACAACTCAGGATCTAATACATTGCAGATCCTTCTTTGAATTTTGTCAAGAATATCGAAATGAATAGCAGGAGGACAGACCAGATATGGCAGCAGTATTCAATGCAAAGACGAATGGTAGATTTGTAAACGTGCAAGATGGGCTCTGAGGAGAAAAAATTTTCTGGCATGACACAGTGACTCAAATTTCCTTGCAGTAGATGCAGCTATTGATTCGATGTAGCTAGGCCTCCTCAAGTCAGTTGAGAATGTGAGGCCAAGAAGTCATAGGAGTCTAGCATCAGCCATGCTGATGGCAGGTAGAAAAATTTCTCTATGTTGGTTAAATGAGAGCAGTTTTATTTTGTAGGCATTAAAATTTACATTGCAAATTCTTGCCACAGTAAACCACCAGCCAGATTTAGTTTGTCAGCTCTGACAGATTTGCTATTGAAACAGGAGAAAATGGTAGTGTCATCTGTATAAATGCCTACTTGGGAACTGATGGCATCAGGAAGATCATTGAAGAAGATCAGAAACAGTGTAGGACTCAGGATGGAGCCTTGTGGGAAAGCTGCATTCTTGTGAAAGGATCTGAAAGTAAGTCCATTCAAAATGACTTTCATTTTATGACTTGATAAGAACCGTTGGATTAAATCAAACAATCATCCTGTAATACCTTAGACCTGGAGCTTACATAGAAGACCAACATGCTAAATGTCTTTGAGATATCTAGTGCCACAGGTTGAGCTTCACCGTTATTATCAATACATATTCACTGATGGCAGTTAATATATAAGCAGTAGACCTGAAAAAATGGAAGCCATATTGTTTGTCTGAGAGTAGGTTGTGAGAAGTATAATGCTTAAACACTTCAGCATTGATTAAAGCCTTGAATATTTTGCCAAAAAGTGGTGAGAAGCAAATAGGGCAATAGAGGGGTTAGAAGGTTCTCTAGAACTCTTAAAAATAGGAACTACACAAGAGGATTTCCAACAAGTTAGAAAGCAGGAAGCTTGAAACAATAGTTGTAGAGTTTGGAGAAAACTGGGACTAGCTCGGGAGCATATTTCATTAATATGATGGTTGGGATCTTGTCACTGCTGATTGCCTTATTCAAGTCTAATTTAGAAATGATGTCTGAGATCAGTGACAGGGTTATGCGCATATCACTGAGTAGAGCCTCTGTCTAGTGGGGAAATCAGGTGTGGGTACTCCAGATGAGTCAAGTATTAAGTTGGAAGAGAATTTACATGTAAAGCATTCAACATTACCAACTGTAGATGTTAGGACTTCAAATTGATTGAATAGAGGAGGTATTGAGGATTTACTGTTGTTCAGCAAATTCTTGCAAAGCTGCCAATAATCTCGAGAAACAAATTTGTGAGATACTGTATATTGTTTCATTTTATCAGCAAACAGTAACTTTGCTTCTTTGAGGAATTGTTATATGTATCTCAATATTGTCATCTCTCTCTCTCTATATATATATATATATATATATATAAAGTGAACATTGAAGTCAAAGTTATAGGCGACAGGCTGTTTCATACTAGACACAATCTTCAGGCTAATCGTGACCTGACGATTGTGTCTAGCATGAAACAGCCTGTTGCCTCTAAATGTTGACTTCAATGTTCACTTTTATATTTGCACATGCTCTATCTCTGATATTGAGCCCTTTATCCCATAAATAAATATAGCACACCTTAAGAGTATATTTCTTCATATATATATATATATATATATATATATTAATATATCTATCTCAATATTGCCATATTTATCTCTCTCTATATCTCTATATATATATATATATATATTATATTTATCTATCTAAATCTGTTCATATATTTGTCTCTGTTTAATTTACCCCAGACCATTTATATATTTCAATCTATCTCTCTCAGTCTGTCCTCATCTATTACAACATTGTTATATCTGTCTCACTCTGTTCATATCTATGTATATATCTATAAGATCTTCAGCCACTTGTTGTTGGGTTATTTCCTGCTTATTTCTAAAACTGTTACAAGGGGATGCTTTCCAACACCCTGCAATAACATTTTATCTCTCTCTTCTTACTTTTCTGTTTATATGAGAACAATGTAAATCTCTCATTGTGTTTTTCCCCACCATGGGAAACGCATTGGAAAATACATACACATACATGTACGTACCCACATTCATTCACTGCATATACTGTAACAACAAAGTTGCCACATTCATTTGTTATACACACATTATTGTCTTTGTCACTTATAACATTTTTGTTGTTAATACATATTAATTTGTTTGTTTATATATATATATATATATATATATATATATATATATATAAAACAGTTCTTGTTGTTCCTTTACATTTCTTTTAGGTAGACTTATACTCAGAGTCTGCCATGTTTGTTTTGGGCATTTCAGGAGACACACGTGTTTATCTCACAATGTGTACACACAGCCCACAACAATCTGAGGGACCTGTATGCTTATTTCAAAAGCCACTGCACTGAATAAAATGTTACATTAGCTTTTAAAAGCTTTTTAAATACAAATATTCCCAATGAAGAATATATATTTTCTTCCTTGTTTTCAAAATGTAAATGTCCCCCTTATTCAATAATCCTGGTGATAGAAACCAATAAGAAAGGAAACAATTAATTAAATCTAATTGAAATAATCCTTTTTAAAGAACGTTCCCATTTAATTATGCAGCCAGAAGTGAACAGGTATTTTCTAATTTAGAAAAGAAGTAATCAATAGATTTTATTAATGGGAGAAAAGTATACAAATCATGCAATTTATGGTTTTCAATATTGGCTTCTTCATTTACAAAATTAAATTTACACTTAAGTCACAAGCACAGTTATTTATAATTATTGGTGAAAAATATTTTCTTTTAGTTGTTTTTAGGATGATGCAATTCCTTCATTTTGTTGTCAGTACAATGGCTTGTTTCATTCTATGGCCTCCCTCAGATGTGCAATCCATATGGAAAGTAGTGCACATCAAAAAATAGTAACAAACAAAAAGAAAAATAAATATACTGAGCAGACCAACCCATTTAGAGCAATGCTTGTAATACAGTCTATTCTATAATTTTTATATGCAGGGAAGCTCTTCTATGCTTTCATTACGAAGTAGAGTAATCCAAATTGCAGTGAAGTCCAGACTATTTACCTAGACGTCTAATGTATCCAGCTTCTGACAGATTACAGCCACATCACATACGATCATCAAAGTTAAGCAATGTTGAGTTTGGTCAGTACCTAGATGGGTAACTACTTGGGAATACCATGTGCTGTAAGCTTGGATGTGTGGGTGGTGTAATGGTTAATGGCTTGGAATTGTTAATTGGAGAGCTGAGTTCCATTTCAGATTGGGTTTGTTATATTTACTTATGACTTCTACTTCTTTACTTCTACATGACGTTATGGGTTTATGAAGACTTGTATTACTACACTATTATTATCTAAAATAATTCTGACAATCTAAAAATATTTTCTGGCTTTAAATAACTTGCAAAGGTTTGATAAGCCATAAAAAATCAATCAATCAATTATACCATGAAAATTTCAGATCTACCATAAGTCTGTGCATTGAATATTGCTGCCATATCTGGTTTGGTGTTCTAACTATATATCTCAAAATTCTTGACAAAATTCCAAAAGGGGTCTGTAATGTAATTGATCCTGACCTAGCATCTCAACTTCAGTCACTTTCTCACTGATGTGACATGTCTTTTCTACAAATATTTTCATGGCAACTGTTCTGATGAATTTTTTTCCCTTTGACTACATGAATTTAAGCAGGTTACTAGATTGGCAACTAGGTCTCACTTTTTAATTCTTTTTTTTTTTTTAATTTAAACTTGCTTATGCCAAATACCATTGGAAAAGGCATGAATCCACCTCTTCTCCACCCAGCTATGGGTTAATTAGTAAGATATGTATCATTATCTCCCCCACCAAAATTCTTAAAATCTAAAAATATTTTATGGCTTTAAATAACTTGCAGAGGGTTGATAAGCCATCAAAAATGAATAAAGGAATCAATCAACCAACCAGCTTCACACCATATTTACATCAAGGTAAGTTAATTGCTGATTCATTTGGGCTTTCTTATTGGCGGCACAATTATAAGATATGTTGATGAGACTGTATTATTGGCAGACAGCAAAAAGAAGCTACAGAAACTCCTAGAAAAGGCAGTAATGGAAAAACGAGAAGAAAGTACTTTCACTTGTAAGAAGACAGAGTGTATGGTCATTAGCAAAAGTGACAGATTCAAACTACAAATTGGAGATGTCACAATACAGCAAATACAAAAAGTAACAGTCTAAGAAGAGTTATAACAGATGAGGAAAAATGACACAGAAATCTGAAGACATATTGGAATTGCAAAAGATGTCTTGCAGAAACTAAGCAATGTATTAAAAACAGGAATATTTCATAGGATGCAATGAAAAGAGTGATGAACTGCTATGTTATATCAATTGTCTTATATGATGGTGAATGCTTGACAATTTCCACACAGATGAAGAAGAGACTTGAGGCAATGGAAATGTGGTTCTTCAAAAGGATGCTGAGAAGACCATATACTGAACTTGTGAGCAATGAGTAAGTTTTTAAAAAAAATAGAAATGAAAAGGACTTTCATTTAGGTTCTGAAAGAAAGAGTTCAAATTTCTGGGATGTATAATGAGGACAGAGGACTTGGAGAATATGACACACACACACAGGACATACAGAAAGCAAGAAAGACAGAGAGGGGCAGTGAGTTATATACCTAACGAGTTTGTGTAAATGGACAGCAGAATATGAACAGGGATGTCAAAGGGTCAAACATAACTTAGTGCCAGAAAGGATAAGAAGCTATGATCATTCATGATCCTTTAATCTAGACTCAGATGGTGCAGTGTGCCTCATAGGTGTGGCAGGACAGGATAGCAGGGTATGCACAACGATTAAAAAAAAAAAAAATTTTAAATAATTTTCTAAATTTTTCAAAATTTAAAATAATATTATGGATTACTTTAATTGCATGCATCAGTCCCATTATAAATAATTATTGAACAATTTTATAATTGTCATATTTTTGCATTATATCAAGTATTAAGAATATAGTAACTAGGGTCCACAATTTGGAGGAGAAAGTTATCAATGATAATGTTCTGACTTTGAATCAACAGTTATCTCCCTTTAATCCTTTCTGTTTTCTATTTTTAGATGTCCTTTTTTTTTACATAAAATTTAGTGTGGTGCAAGTAAATTTTAATTCCGAAAATGTGGCCCCGATTAAAACATTTGGGAACCACTGCTCGAGATAATATATAAAGAATTTTTAGTTTTAATATACAGAGTATGTATATAAAATGAATAATTGTTACCTTCATGTATCTTAATGCAAATGTTTACATCATAAACTTTTCTAAAATTTTGAGGACATCATTGAAATGTCCTCTAAATTAGAGGTCATTTTTTAAATGGCTTTAAAGTTGACTCAACATTTAATTTTTTTATTTATTTCTGCTCGTTTAAAAATAAGTGATAATATTTTTTTTCTTTAATTTGGTGAAAAGAAAAAAAATTCAAAGTTGGATTTGTAGGGACATTATTATTAATAAATATAAAATAATAATAAAATCCAATAAAATAAAACAAATAACATTTAAACTTTGTTTAAAATAAAACCAAAATAATGGTTTTATAATGGCTTAAAGCAAGGAATACATACATTTTTTGAACAATATTATTAATAATAGATTTTTGAAGAAAAATATTACCAGCAATAGATTTTTGAAAAAAAAAACATTACCAGAAATAGATTTTTGAAGAAAAAAAATATTACCAGAAATAGATTTGTGAAGAAAAATATATTACCAGCAATAGATTTTTGAAAAAAAATATTACTAGAAATACATTTGTGAAGAAAAATATTACCAGCAATAGATTTTTGAAGGGAAAAAAAATCATTACAAGCCATACATTTTTAAAAAAAAAATATTACCAGCAATAAAAATTGTCGGCATTAAATAACACATCGAGATTGATATGGCATAAAATAAAATAAACCAAACCATACTAAAAAAAAAAAACAAGTTTATATATCCTTGGACATACTTATTTGAATATGAATTATCTATATCTACCTTTATATATTTAATAAAAGAAGAAGCTATTTTGCCGGTCCAGGTAAAATAGACAAACATGCTTTTAAATTATATTCCTAATCTCAGAGAAGGATTAACTGAATTCAAAAGCTGAGTGGTGGAATAGTTGATGACTAAACTAGAAGACCAGAGTCTGGTGAGGAGGGTAAGTTGAACCCCAACAGCACAAAAAAATGAGAGCTGTTTAAAAAGAGTCAATCCACACCAAATATGGTTTAAATAGCCTCAACAAACCACAATTGTCCAAACATTTAAGAGGTGGTTCCACACTCCTGAAAACCTTCTGATCAGGTGCCCTGCTGCCAGATGGAGTTTATCATCATTTTTTTCCCCAAAAATGCTAGTATTTTTATACTTTCATAATGTTTTAACACCAGTTTGGGGGGGAAGGGGGGTCACTATTTACCCATAGCTGGGACCCTAACAGGTGCTACCACCCCGGATCTGGGTGGAGCTGAGAACAACAGTAATTAAGTGTTTCCACACTATAGATATATATATAAATTTGATCATTAATAATCAATCAAATTGAAGGTGGCATTAATTTATCTGCTTCTTAAATAATTTCATAATGTTCATTTGAGTTTTGGAAATAGAAATCTGTGTGATAAACTGTTTTTTTTTTGTTTTTTTTGCTAACCTTGTTTTTATTTTTGGTATAAGCTTTGTCATATGGATCAAAATTCTCATCATGAATAAGGAAGACAGTCACTGTTCCAAGTTAAAATAAAATTTAAAAACAAAGAAATTCATAAAACAAAGAGAAATAACATGTAACATGCAATTGCAAGTCACTCCAATCAGGTATGCATATTCTTGCACCCACAGCTGCAGCTGGAAAATGCTGCAGTCTAATTGCACTATATTGTGTATGAGTAACACTGAATTGTCACCTAATATTATATTCAGCCACCCATCCTCTTAAATCTTTGCACATAGCACATCTCTTTTGCCTTTTTGTCTTTTACAGAGATTATTGCGAACCCAGCCAATCCCCCATCTTTTTTCTATTCATCCGATCTAACCTTTTCCCACTGAAATTCTCATCCTCTTCACTGATGCTCCTTTTCTATTGGCCTTGCTTTCCTCTCTCTTTTTCTTCTCTTTAATCTCACCTTTCTCCCCCACCCTCCTCACAATTTACAATTTTCTAATTAGCCTCTTACTACTGCTCAAATATTGTCTTTAATGTTGTCTGACTAGCCTTCTCAGATTAAAGCTCTTGTTTAACTGAGATTATGGTGACTTGGAATAAAAGAGAGAGAAAAAGTAGATGTAAGTGGGAGAAGGAAAGAAGAAAGATAAAAAAAAAAGACAGGGAAACAGATGAAAAAGAAGCATACAATAAATGCAAGGGTCAAGAAAAAAAAAGAAAAGAAACAGTAAGAAAGAAAAAAGAAAGAGAAGATAGAAAAATAGACCAAGAAGGGAAAAAATGAAAATAGAAGTGTGTATGGCGGTAAGAAAAATTGAAGAAAGAAAGGCCTTATTTAAGAAACGATGAAAGAAAGAAAGAATATGAAAGAAAGAAAGAAAGAATATGAAAAAAGAAAGAAAGAAACAAGCAAACAAAGGATATGCAAGAAAAGTAAAGGAAAATGCAAGGGAAAAATGAGAGAAAAATCTTGAAAAGATAAGCAAGACAAGAAAATTAACTGAAAATGGAAAACAACAAATACATAAAAGAAAGAAAAATAAAAGTAAATAAAAAGGTAAGTAAGTAAGTAAGTAAGAAGGATAAGGAAAAATTAAGCAAAGAAAAGAAAAAAAAAAATCTTTAAAAAGGAAATGAACCAAAAAATGACAAAAAAGAAAATTCATAAATGAAAGAAGAGGAAAGAAAGAAAAATAAAAATAAATGAATTCGTAAGTTAGTAAGATCGAGAAAAATAAAGACAAAAAGAAAAGTTCATAAATTTACAAACTTTTAAAAGAATGTAAACTTTAGATTCAAGTAATCAAGATATAGGAGAGAGGAAAAATGGTTTATTTTCTTTAAATGATGGAGGGGAAGAAAAGAATATAACATAAAAGACAGGAAAATTTATGAGCAGAATGAGGAATCGGAACAAATGCATGAGACTAGATGGAAGGACAAACTAAAGAGACAGGAGAGAAAGGAAGTGAAAGAAAGAGGGAAAGAATAGAAGTGCAAAGGAAGAAAGAAGAGAAAGGAAGTGAAAGAGAAAGAATAGAAGCAGAAAGAAGAGAAGAGAAATGAGAGAGAAAGAATAGAAGTACAAAGAAGAGGAGGAAGGAAAAATGCAAGAAAGAATAGAGGGGAAACAGACAAAAGAGAAGGAAAGAAAAATAGAAAGGCAAAGAAGAAATGGAAAGAAAGAAGAATAGAGTGAAGAGAAAACTAAAGAGAAAGACAAGAAGGGAAAAAGAAGAATGAAGAAAAAAGAAAGAAAGAAAGAAGGAATAGATGGAGAGCCGACAAAAGAGAAGCATAGAAAGAATAGAACAGCAAAGAAGAAAAAATGAGAAAAAAAAGAAATGAAAGCTAAAGAAATAGAAGGTAAATTATAAGTGATAGAAATTAGAATAAAATGAAGTAAGGAAAGAAAAAGTGGATTAGCTAAAAAAAAGAAGGAAAAGAAATGAAAAGAAGAAAATAAAAATTGAGCAAGAAGAAAGAATTATAACCAAAAGAACAACAAATGAAGCAAGAATAAAATGAAGCCAAATTAAAAATGAAAGAAGCATATGATAAAAATAGATCAAGAAGAAAATAGAAAATGAAGCAAAAGAAGTAAAAAAAAAAAAAAAAAAAGCAGGTGAAATGGCAAGAGGAGAAGAAAGAAAATAAACAAAAGAGAAATTATGAAAAAATTTTTTTAAAATTTATTGAAATATTTAAAGAGGAAAACTATTCAAAGTTTTGTAACCGATGATTCGTAGGTAGAAATGTAGAATGAAAGAAAATTATTGATAATGGCTAAAAATGAAGAGAGAACAATTGAAGTCAGGGGAAGTTCTCGGATGTTGGAAATTAAATTTAAATTGGGAAGATTTATGACTTAAAGATTTGAAAGAAAGGTTATTGGATGAATCAAGTTAGGAATTTCTGCAGGGGGCTTAATATCTAGAGAGTCAAAGAGGGCTGTGAATTAAGGAAAGGTGAAAATGGAATTGGCAGAAAGTTAAGATTAAAAGAGATGATTAAAGAAAGAAAAAAAATGAAGACTTTTCCATAGGAAGAGAAAGAATGAGTAAAAAGAATTGGGTGACCATAAAAGAGGTGGGAATTATCAAAAGATCAAAGGAAATTAAAAGAGATTGATATGTAAAGTGCGAATAAAAGAAAGCAAAAGAGGGGTTAAGAGAACATGGTAGAGTTGTGCTCTTGGGAAGCTGGTAAGAGTGAAATTTTGAATTGGAACTAAAGAGAGAAATTCAGGATTTTAAAGAATAGGAGAAAGAGAATGGATGAGAATTAAATAAAAGAAAACATGAATGGATTAAATGTATTACAATGAAGTGAATGTAAAAAGAAAATTGTGATTGAGAAGAAGAAAATAACTAAAGAAAAATAACAAGAAAGAGAAAAAAAAAAGGAAGAATGAATGTAGATATAATAAAAATAAGAAGAACAACAAAAATATATGAAAAAGATAGTGTGAAAAACAACAAAAAATAATTATTATGATAATAATAAGGAAATGCAGAGGAAGAAGAAGTATAGAGTATGAAGGAGAACAAATGAATAAAAGCCAAAAGAAAGAAGAAGGAAAAAGAGGTAGAAAAAAAAAAAGAAAAAGGTATGAAGGAGAATAAACAAATAAGAGCCAAAAGAAGGAAGAAAAATGAAGAGGAAGAAGAAGTATAGAGTATGAAGGAGAACAAATGAATAAAAGCTAAAAGAAAAAGAAGAAGGTAGAAAAAAAGGAAGAAGGGTATGAAAAAAAAAAAAAGAAAAAAAGGGAAAATGAAGGAGAATAAACAAATAAGAGCCAAAAGAAGGAAGAAAAAATGAAGAGGAAGAGAAAAAAGTATAGAGTATGAAGGAGAACAAATGAATAAAAGAAGAAAAGAAAGAAGAAGAAGAAGAAAAAGAGGAAAGAAGAAAAAGAGGTAGAGAAAAAAAGAAGTAAAGGGAATGAAGGAGAATAAACAAATAAGAGCCAAAAGAAGGAAGAAAAAATGAAGAGGAAGAAGAAGTATAGAGTATGAAGGAGAACAAATGAATAAAAGAAGAAAAAAAAGAAGAAAAAAAAAAGAGGTATGAAGAGAAAAAAAAATAAAGCCAAAAAGAAGGGTATGAAGGAGAATAAACAAATAAGAGCAAATGAATAAAAAGAAGGAAGAAAATGAAGAGGAAGAAGAAGTATAGAGTATGAAGGAGAAGAACAAATGAATAAAAGAAGAAAAAGAAAGAAGAAGGAAAAAGAAGGTGAATAAAAAGCCAAAAGAAAAGAGAAAAAAAGAAAAAAAAAGAAGTAAAGGGTATGAAGGAGAATAAACAAATAAGAGCCAAAAGAAGGAAGAAAAATGAAGAGGAAGAAGAAGTATAGAGTATGAAGGAGAACAAATGAATAAAAGCCAAAAGAAAGAAGAAGGAAAAAGAGGTAGAGAAAAAAAAAGAAGTAAAGGGTATGAAGGAGAATAAACAAATAAGAGCCAAAAGAAGGAAGAAAAATGAAGAGGAAGAAGAAGTATAGAGTATGAAGGAGAACAAATGAATAAAAGCTAAAAGAAAGAAGAAGGAAAAAGAGGTAGAGAAAAAAAAGAAGTAAAGGGTATGAAGGAGAATAAACAAATAAGAGCCAAAAGAAGGAAGAAAAATGAAGAGGAAGAAGAAGTATAGAGTATGAAGGAGAACAAATGAATAAAAGCCAAAAGAAAGAAGAAGGAAAAAGAGGTAGAGAAAAAAAAAGAAGTAATGGGTATGAAGGAGAATAAACAAATAAGAGCCAAAAGAAGGAAGAAAAATGAAGAGGAAGAAGAAGTATAGAGTATGAAGGAGAACAAATGAATAAAAGCTAAAAAAAAAAGAAAGAAGAAGGAAAAAGAGGTAGAGAAAAAAAAAAAAGAAAAAAAGGGAATGAAGGAGAATAAACAAATAAGAGCCAAAAGAAGGAAGAAAAATGAAGAGGAAGAAGTAGTATAGAGTATGAAGGAGAACAAATGAATAAAAGCTAAAAGAAAGAAGAAGGAAAAAGAGGTAGAGAAAAAAAAGAAGTAAAGGGTATGAAGGAGAATAAACAAATAAGAGCCAAAAGAAGGAAGAAAAATGAAGAGGAAGAAGTAGTATAGAGTATGAAGGAGACCAAATGAATGAAAACAAAAAGAAGAAGAGGCAAAAGAAGTATAGAGTATGAAGGAGAATAAACAAATAAGAGCCAAAGGAAAATGAAAGAGAGAGAAGAAGAAGAAAAAGGGAGGAGGAGGAAGAAGAAGTATAAAGTATGAAGGAAAACAAACAAATAAGTGCCAAAAGAAAGAAGAAAAAAAGAAGAGGAAGAAGAAGTATAGAGTATGAAGGAGAACAAATAAATACAAGCCAGAAGCTAAAGAGAGAAGAAATAGAAAAGAACAGGACAAAGAATATAGAATATGAAGGAGAACAAATGAATAAGAGTATGAAGAAAAAGAAAGATGAGGAAGAAGATATAGGAGGACTGATATTATGTAACAGTTCAGTCAAAAAGATCTAAAGGTACAATACTATTACTACTGATGATGATGATAGTAACTAGAAGAAGAGGAAGAAGAAAATAAAAGAGAGAGAGGGTTAAACAAAAGTACACAATAGAAAGTACCAGAAAAAATATAAAGAACTAAATACCGAGGAAAAGGAAAAGTAAGAGGAGGAGGAGGAGATGATGATAATAATACAAAAAGCTCCCAAAAAGAACAATAATCAGAACTAGAAGAAAGATTGAAGAAGAGGATAAAAGAAAGAATGAAGAACAAAAGCAAGAAAAAGAAGAAAATCAGAATGAAAGTGAAATTGTGAAAAAGATAATGAAAAGAAGTAACATTAGAGCAACATAATAAAAGAGTGAGAGAAAGAGAGAACAAAAAGAGAGGGAGAGGAAAAATAAAAAAGAGAGAAAAAAGAAGAAGAAGAAGAGCAGGATAGGAAAAACAAAAAGAGTGAGGGAGGAGATTGAACCAAAAGAGAGAGTGGGAGGAAGATCAAAAAGAGAGAGGTAGAGAAAAAAAAACAAAAGAAATGGAGGAAAACCAAAATAGAGAAAGAGAGAGGAAGAAAAAAGAAGAAAAAAATGAAAATACAATAATAAAGAAAATTAAGAAATAAAAGCGGAAGATAAAATAATAATGAACAGAAAAATATAATGAAAAAGAATGATGAAAAAAGACAACGGCATGAATGAAGGAAGAGAAAAAGAAAGAAAAATAATGACTGAAAAATATCTAGAAGCATAAAAAGGAATGGAATGAGAGATAGAAAGTAGAGAAAAGAAAATGAATGAATAATTAAGGAAGAAAAATGAAGAGAGAATGATAAAAGAGAAAAAGAAAGAAAAAGAAGAAAGAAAGAAAAAAGGAGAAATTATGAACTGGATGCAGAACACACAAAAAAAAGGATGACTGTATAGGAAAGAAAAAAAGAAAAGAAAAAGAAAAATGTGTTAGAAAATGAGAATTCAGGGGAAAACATAAGAAAAAGAAAGGATGAATGAATGAGAAGGAAAAATGTAAAAAAAAAAAAAAGAAAGAATAAAGTAGTAGAAAAAGAAAGAAAAGAAACAGCAAGAACCAGAAGAACACAATTAAGAAAATAAAGAATATACAAATTAAAAGGAAAAACATTTTCAATGATAAAGATGAAAGAAAAGTTGATAGAATTTTATAAATAAAGCAAAGAAGCAGCAGATGAAAAATCTTAAGGAAAAAAAAAATAAAAGAAAGCAGAAACAGAATGAAAAATGAAGAAAAAGAATTTAAGACAAACAAAGCAAGATTAAAGAGAATTTTAGTTGAGAAAAAAAAAAGACAAGATGAAAATTTGACATTGTCTAGTAAGTAAATAAGTAATTGAAAAAAGAAAGGACAGAGAAAGAATTAGGCAAAAAAGAAAAGAAGGAATTGAAAGAAAAACCAATCCCAAATAAATAAATGTGTCTAAAAGGTATGAGTAAAAAAAAATTTGAAAAATACCACACAAAATGATGGAATTAAATGAGTATCACTTGATGTAATTCTAGTGTTGAAAGTAGGAAATATATATATATATACACACACACCCACAAGAAGTTGTTAAAATTTTCTTGGCCCACCCAAGAAGGAATATATATATATATGTGTGTGTGTATGGTGTGTGTGAGAGTGAGATATAGATGGTATGGATATAGGAGATGACACTGCTTGATGACTGCCAATTTCATCCCTCAGTGGATATCTACACTGTCCGTAACTATAAGCACTCTATAAACACCCTATCTCTGATATATTGAGTACCCTTCCACTATAAATACAGGAAGTTTTAAACCAGACATGCATATACGTGTGTGTGTGTGGGGGGTATATATAATTGCAAAAAAAATGATAACTGCCCCTTAAACGTGTTGTGTTTGATGGACAATGTTGATGTAGAGAGCCTTGATAGCAATTGCTTGCAAAACGATATAATATACCAAGTTACTGTAAAATCAGCAGATAACAAAGAAAAAATATACAGAGAAGTAACTAAAAGACCCTAGAAACAGAGAAACTGCCCACACAAATTATCCTTTACACATGAATGCAGTGCTTTCTGACCATACATGGGGAATTAAAAACAAAAAACAAATTACTCCAAAAATATAATGGAAACTAAGGAAAACAGCACCAGCCTACAACAATAACTGTAAACTCCATCTGGAGGAGAAAATAGCTATCACCTTCCCTGACCAACACAAATTACTAATAAAATGATTAGAACTTATCTCAAAATCCAGACACAAAACAAATGTTTACTACATTACTTATAAATTGAAAAGCTAAAAACTAATACCTTGTAAAATATCACCATGATAAATACAAATATATGCACTATATACAACACTATATACAACACAGATAATGTAACAGGCTTTAAACAAAGCCAATACTCTAAACTAAACTATACAAAGATAGCCAAACCTCAAGAAATCCAATTAAATAAGCGAAAAATCTAAATGAATGAATAAACAAGCTAAGTAAATAAACAAATTAAGCTACAAATGTAATAAACAGAATTAATGTAATAATAATAATAACCAACAACAAATATTTAAATAATCACTAATAAATAATGAGTAAAAAGTTAACAACACTAAAAAATAGCAACAAATAACCACATTTGTATTCACAATTATTTCTACTCAAAAGCCTATAAAATAATTTGAAACATGACCATTACCACCCACCTAGTAACATTTAGGATGATAGAATAGACTTTACTACCCATAATTCACCATTTGCCAGCATATATAAACAGTTGAGCTAAAACACAATGCACATGTCCTGGAGATTGAGTTTAAGCATGAAACAGACTGTTGCTGCTTGGTGTTGACCAGTGTCCACACTTGTATATACATATATAAATGTGGATTCTGGGGTCAACAACAAATGGTAACACTCCATTTCATGTTTGAGTGCAATCTTCAGGTCATGTGTGTTGCAGCTTGGTGAGGGTTCATTTTCATATTTTACACAAGCTCTAATGATGATATTGAGCACTTTTACTCATGTAGCATACCTTAGAACTATATTTTTATCATATATATATATATAGTCATCCACAAACAGACTGTTTCACAGCACTTCAGTGTGGCTAGATTGAAACCCAACTGTCAGATATCTTACACCTAGGCCATCATCGGGAAGTGCAATATAAATAAACTCTTGGATTTAAAAAGACTGCTACATTTGACTATTTCGACAGTGAAAGGGTGGGACTGAGATTCCAACTTAGTAGCATACTTAAATTTATACAGTTGGTGTACCAGTAGAAGTAGCTCATCAGAACAGTTACTATGAAAATATTTGCTGAAAAAACAGAGGGAACCGACAGCACATCTGTAAAAAAAAATGACTGTAGACAAGATGCCAGATCAGGACCTATCACATTGCATATCTGTCTCTGGATTTTGTCAAGGACCTCAAAATACACAGCAGGGCACCAGACTATATATGGCAATGGTATCCAATGCAAAGATGAATGGTAGAATTGAGCGATAAACTCAGACAAGAAAAACCTTCTGGCATGGCACAGAACCAACTTTCCTTGCAGTAGATGAAACTATTAATTCAATGTAGTTGTTCCACCTCATATCAGTGGAAAATGTGAGACTAAGAAGGCATAGAGAGATGTTATGATGGAGTTGAGCATCAGCCATGCTGATAGGCGGTGGGGAGGTTTCTCTATGGCAGGTATATGAGAGCAGTTACATTTTGGAGGCCTTAAAGTTTACAAGCCATTTCCTGAACCAGCCAACCACAGATGGGAGGTCCTTTTTGAGATCAACAGCCAGTATATATATATATATATATATATATACACACACACACACAGAGACAAAATGAGAACAAATGGAATATAATTCTACTATACATAACATTTAATTTTACAGAGAACTAAATATTATTTAATTTAGGCTATTAAAATGTTAAAAATCGCCACATAATGGCAATTATGTTTTTGACACCATAAATGTGTCTGCTCAGATGATGTTAAACTAATTTAATATATATATATATATATATATATTGCATATTGAGTTTTGGTCTTAATAAAATAGTGCTCAATGTAATATAACAGTGCTATTAAGTACATATTAATAAATATCATGAATCCTGTGACCCATCAGGGTCATGGGGTCACCATATGTATCACAACTGCAGCAGCAGAAATGGTGTTTCTTAGGCAAGATATCAATACAGAGCCTATCACTCTACAAGCCGGTTTTGAATTCAGTTTCTCTTCTAGACCCGTTACCACCTAAAGTTATAGAACAAAGTCTGCCCTGTTATTTACCCATAGCTGGTGGGGGAGGAGAAGAAGAGGATTTACACTTTTCCCAATGGTATTAGCATGTTAGTGAATACAGTGGATCTGACTGGATTTGAACTCAGCTCTTCAATTCCTCAATCAAACCCACTATCCATTACTCCACCATGCCTCCTCTTAATATATATATATAAAGATTAATAAAATAAGAGTTCAGTCAACTTAACACTAATTTCAAAATTTCATGGACTCATTACTCATCAGGGTCAGAGGGTTCTAATTAACCTTTTATTAATTGGTTATTGCTGCTCTAGTTGCCTATTGAACATATTCTTGACAAAAATTTTGCTTGCCTTGAAATACAGTACTGTTTGATAAAAGTGACTCACCTGATTTCTTTTACTAAATGTTCTCTTCTTTGATGAAATGAAAGTTGAGCTAAATTTAAAGGATACGCGACCTAAAATCTGAAGAAGAAGCTTTGAAAGCTCTTTGAATTTAGTAGTAAGTACTGTCAAGCATCCGTTCAGTATAATATTCTGGGGATGCTTTTCTTTTCATGGAACTGGTTTCTTAAAACCTATTGAAAAGACCCTCAGGAGCGAGCAGTACAAGAGAATTTTAGAGTCTTGTCTGCTCCCTTCGGCTGAAAGGGTGCAAATCGACCCCATCAAGCTCATTTTTTGGCAGGATAATGCTCCCTGTCACAAATCAAAATTGATGAAGGAATACTTTAATGAGAAGCAGGTGAGTATTATGACATGGCCGCCCCAATCTCCTGACCTCAACCTAGAAAACTTATGGAGCATGTTGCTCAACTGCTTTCTCGAGAGCCTGTACTTTATCCCATAAATACAGCACATATATATATATATATATATATATATAGAGAGAGAGAGAGAACTAAATAAATATAAACTAAAAAAAAATAAAACAAGCCTCAGTGAAGCAAAAACCCCTAATGCTATTCAAGATATGAGACTTGAGAAAATCCAAAGCAGGAAATCAATCCAGAAAAAAAATTGGAAAATATTTCAAAACCAAAGTGGTGAGAAAAAAAAAAAAACAACTTTAGACGAGATCATGTTTTATGTTAACTAAATTTTATCTTTTTCCAAGGATTCCGTTAGTGTGAAACTAGGTAATGGCTGACCATACATATCCATGTATGCCTATCTGCTAGGGTGGTAGCCAACCCCTATTGCAGACGTCTGCTCAGGCACATTTACATTTGTTCAACATCCACAGAGCCCAACAGTGGTTTATACTCTAACTATGCTGAGGGGATCTTAGTTACAGTTTCTGGGAGATTATTTGGCATGATCAACAGTCCGAACAAAGCCAGTATGCTCAAAACCTCAGTCATGATGACTTGCGACTTCATGCTAACTCAACCACTGACAACTCCCAGATAGTTCCATCTACCGTATTTCACTCACAAAGCTTGGGTC